ATTGCTATATATTAAGTTCGGTATGAGGCTGTGCTCGTACGTAGTGATTCGAGCTATTTAGTTACGCGACTGTGACTATCCACGCTCCACCGCTAATCGTTGGATCGCTTCAACGTTCGTTATAAGTTTTGTTGTGACTGTGACTAAATTAGCACTTGTAAGAGGAACGAGTAGCGGTGAAGCGCGGTCAATCGCAGTCGCGCGATTTCCCAATTCGCGTGGCTAAATTACTCGAGACACAAAGTGAAAACAGTCTCAGAGAGCGTTCACGCTTCGCGATGATGCGCGTAGACGCGCCCCAACGTGCTGTGGCCCGCGTCAACGCGCTCCATTCTTCTAGAAGCGAACGTAGCCGCAGGCGGGATTCGATCGGTACCAGATGCTTGTGTTTTAGAGAGTTAAAGGTAACAGGAGGATAGAGGTTGCTTTTATACAATCTGGTACCCTTCTATTCCTCTATCCTCTCCCAAAGCTCTGGCGGCCTGTGCCGATCGATACCTGACCACGTGATTAGGCAACGCGTACCATAGTGCTCCTTCTTACTCTCTCTCTCAATACGCAATGGAACACGCCGATCAATTCCTTTCTGCGCTCGCGTCCGCCTCTATAGCATTGGAGCGCTGTTGCTTTTGTTGTGGTGCGTCAACGCGCGTCTTTGTGAAGTTTGAACACTGCCTTATTCGCAGATAGAATTGTGCACGAACACTATTGAAACCATTTAAGGGGATCCGCTGGAGCTCCCAACCACACCAGACAACGGCTTGTTCATGTCTACACTTCAAGCTTCGTATCCCGGTGCAACGGGATTGAAATATAAAAATCCAAAAACTGGAGCCCTGAGAGCTGTCGCGTACGTTTTTCAAGACTATTGCCATCTGTTGCCGCTGCATGATTTTTAGTAAATGATCGCAGTTTCAGGCTTGACGCTAACGGAACAAAACTTTTACCGCCTACAGATGGTTGGGACGACAAAGTATTCATAGTGATTACACCGAACAAGCGAGGTTTGATCATATGATGCCTTCGCTATCATTCATAGATTTACAATCACAGCTAAATCAGGGCACCTTTAATAGGTAAATATTTGCTAAATTACTGAAAACGTTGCACGCCGTTGCCCTGGATGCTAATATAGTACATTTTTCCGCCATTCACTGCTGCGAAATATTGCGCTCCGTCTTTTTTTTTTGTTGACCGGCTTGGGGTGTTCTCTGTGCTGTGTAGTCCTAAGCAAATGATGCGGTCAACTCCATCCAGTCCTGTGTCCCTGAGATCGCTTGTTTTTGAGAATCGACCATTGGAACGTTTCACTATTGGTCCAAGATACGCTTGCGCCGCGTACCTGGATGATGGACCACCTCCTTTGCCCTAGACAAGTGTAACAGAGGTCCCAGGTTCAATACATTTCCGCGTGTTAGGATATGCTCCGGCGTGGATATTCCAACTCCCTCTCTGCACGGGTCCCCTACGCATCGTAAAAGTGATTCGAACCCCCGGAAACTCCTACCCCTTTCAAAGTTGTAGATATATTTGTTATCAGACTGCGGTGTCTGCTGATACCACCATTGCTTTTGACTCCAGATGTTTAGTTTCGCTTAAAGTCAAGGAATATGGCGCGATCTTGGACAATACAATCAGTGATTTGCTTCGTCATCGCGCGCGAGCGTCGTCATGCGACAGTGTCGGTTGATTTCTCGAGTGCGCACCATGTGTCGACTGAACCAGTCGAAAACTCATTATAATCGCAAACAAAAACGAATACATGACGGCAATAACGAGCTTTCGCGTCCTTCTCAATAGTCAGACCCAACACCCTTGTAGGACTGCCAGGACAGTGTGTGGAGTTCACCAACGCAGGTGGGGGAGCGTCATATCTTGCCATGATTTACAATTTATCATGACGTTAACGCTCAAATTAGAACGTCCAGGCAGGGAAACTCGTCCATCAAGAGCGCCGCGCCCACCTGCGCGACATATACGATTTTCTTGTCACATCACCGCATATTTGAAGGTTTCCTTGGCAACAATCTTCGCATCATAGATTTGCCGCCACCACGACCGCACACTGATTGAACCGGCTTTTCTGGCCAGAAAAGGTCTACCCTTTATGATACTTGCATTTGGTCCAAAAGGATAATCCTCCTTCCTGTGTAGTGACAAGTGGCGCGCTTACCACCTGCGCGATTTCGGGTTCAAATCCCGGGTCGACTCCCGCCCAGGCCAACCAAGCCTTCTACCCTCCGGGAACGGTAAATTGGTACCAGATTCGTCTGGGAGGATAAAACACTGACTTGTACATCGGCTGGCCCCCGCAAGTCATTGTATAGGCCACATCGCATTCAGTAAGCCATAATTTTGAATGGGAGTAGAAGGCATGCCGCATCCCACAAAGGGATTGACAACTGAAGTGAACTGTGAGGCTGAACAAAGGACGACGACTTTATCCTTTTTTTCTTTCTGGGTACTTCTGAACATATCACCGCTTGCTTTGCCTTGCTTCTGCTCAGTATTTTCGTTACTGGTTCTATCATCACTGGGCTTTCAACATTGAGCTGTTTTTTTCTTTCCATAGATTTTAACAGTACTTTGTATGGATAAAGGAGAATGTGTTGGGTGGTGATTTTATCATGATATCATTGTGTTTTTATGAATGTAGCACGTGAGGCGAGAAAGATGTGTCTATTTGGATGTATGTATGTATGAAACGTCGCAAGACTTGATTACGATGATGGAGATTTAGGACAGTGACGGTGAAGGCCGAGTCGGTCGCAAACGTACCGCCGACGATTGGGATTCGTTGAACCAGCCAGCGAAGCCGCGCCGTCCTGTTGATCTCGTCGTGCTCGGCGTGAATTACAAGACTACTGATGAAGATTTCAAGAAGTACTTTGAGACGTTTGGTACCGTCGTATTCGCAGAGGTGCGTGGGAATTTATGACTGAGTTCTCTGTGTGTTTTGTGGTTTGTCTCTGTGTGTCTTGGGTATTGAATGGTCTCTCAATATATGTATGTTCAAAAGAGCACAAAACGAAGCTTGATGTGGTTTGAGCGAACATTATGTGGACACGATCGACAAGCTGCATAGAGTTTCTTGAGCTTGTCATTGAATAAAATCAATCGGGGTGGAAATGTGGTTCAGTTCATGTTTTCTTTTCGCTTGCAAAGGACCTTGCACGATTACCTGCCTAAAGGATGACTCCTTTTCAAGATGTGGACTGGTCCTCAGCTGTGTAAGTCCACCACTTTTGTCTCGTGAAATGGTAAGGGAGCTGGAAGTTCACAAAAAGACCTCACGCTCAAGCAATTCGTAGGATTCTTTCGTTACTCAAGTGTCCGGTGCGCTGTCGCAAAGATTGTCCCGTTTTCGCAGCCACACAATGAGTACGAGAGCGCCATGACTTTCATAAGTCGCAGGTATACGTACGAAATACCGTATATGCTGCAACTTGTGCTGGCCGCAGCGCCCTGCACTCATTGTGAAGTCGCGGGGGTGGGACATTCTTTGCGATAACCCACCAGAAATCTTGGGCGAGGAAGGAATCTTGCGGATTGGTTGAGCGTTGTGTAGGTCTCCAAAGTTGCTTGATGTTACCTACGTTTCCACCCACTTGATGCGCCATCGGCCGTGCAGTGGCTGCTCGACTGGTGTTTCTCACAGAGCTAGTGTTCACTGGGCTTAACGTACGTAGGTGAAGTTTTTTTCCGAAGTGGCTACAGATCCTCCACCTGAAGTCATCCCGGAAGTGAACTTACTAAGCCAAATAGAGCCCACTGAACACTATCTCGTTAAGAGTGCACAAGCAGCGCGTGTCACATGATGGTATTTCGTATCGAAGTGATGCATGGAATTATTGATAACATCAAGCAGTGACAAGAACTGGCTTCCGGTCACTTTCTGTTGGTGAAAGTGGCCCAGTTTTACAGCTGTCGCTCCCAGTCCCATCCGCCTCCCAGATAATGGTGTAGTGTGCTTTCAAACCAATCACCGAATTTTTAAGGATGTGTTTTGCCCTGTGGTTAATATAGATCTTAGGCTATTCGAGGAATTGCCGCGCCAAAACTGTCTTCCTTAGTCAGTTGCAGCGTGATAATTCCTCTGCCATAGACCTCAAATTGGTGCGACGGTTTTTATAGGAATTGGAGAGGGGGGGGGGTTAAGAATGAAGGGCGAAGATAGCTGGCTCCAGACGTAAGAGTAGCGATACAAATGCACATGCACAAATACAACCCACATGTCCACATCGTGCGTAGGTCATTAGATCTCGTGCTTCGCACCCATTTAGTGTTCACGTTTGCGTCTATACTTTGCGAATGTGGAGAATCCGCCATTAGAGAGAATCAGAAACAAAGAATGGGATGGAAATTAGTTGGCTGAACCCTCTCGCGGAATCTGCGATTGAAAGACGGATAGTCAGGAGAATCCACGATACACTGACCGGCAACGTCAATCAACTGCATATGTTGTCCCTTCCACTTTGATTGTCTTGATCTGTGAATTTTCCAGGATTGTACGAACTTTTCTCCTCTTGGGTGCATCATATCAAATAATCGATATTCCCAAATTGCGGTTTCTCCACATCTTAACGTACCAACTTGACCTGGAGACTTTAACTGTGATCACGGACAATGGTTTTGGGATGTATTGGCTAGTTTTATACCCCATTTGTGATTCCATTGCATGCATATTGTTCCTGTTAATGAACGTTAACAACCATGAGTGCGTGGATACACAAATCTCAGTGGTAACAAATATTGTGGAAGAGTGAGAAGAATGAAACTTCATTGAAGATACGGTACACAATTGTGTGCGGACTCATGAAATGTCATCATTGAAGCGCCTTCCACATTGCCGATGAGCCGGGTCAGAAGGACGCGGTAGTGTCGACTCCCCTATCCGGCAATTCTGAACGGTGTCTGTAAGTTGAAGTGATTGGCTGTATTTTTTTGTTTAGATCAAAAAGAACACAGACCAAACATCTAAAGGATATGGATTTGTGCAAATGAGTTCATTGGAAGAGGAGGACAAAATATTGGCTACTGCTAGTCACACAATCGACGGCAGACACTGTGAAGTCCGCATTCCTGAGGAGAAGGCAGGTGTTTTCATGAGTTGTGATGGAGTCTCAAATATTAAAGACACTTCCCGTGATCAATACGGGTAGTAGGTGCTCAGTCATAAATCAGTAGCCTGTAAATAACTCCCCCAGTAGAGAAAGAAGCGAAGAAAATGAGAACACT